GGACACGCCAGAGTCAGACAGGGCTTATGCAGGGGACACAGGAGGACACACAGGGGACATAAAGAAAACACCTCACACAGGAACATACAAGTCTCAGGAGGACTAAAGAAGATGAGCAATCACACCAAGAACCAGGAGAGCATTCAGGGAGCCATGAAAGACCATGGGAAAGACAATGGAGTCAGGAGCCATGAGAGACAACAGAAGATAGGCAGACAGGTAAAGGTGGGGTAAAGAGAATCACTCAGGTCATAGAAGAACCCTGGGAGACCCAGGGGGTTGGGAGACAACAGTGAAAGTACATGTGAGGCCAGAATATGGCGAAAGTTACCGGAGAGGGACCACAGGCCAAGGCAGGAAGGGCTTTCCTTCATGCAGAACTTGGAGCCCAACCTCCACCAAACCCCACCCAGGAGGAGCCTGCCATCTTGAGGGCCCCGACTTCCCTCAACTAGCCAACTCACAGCACAGAGGTCTTCTTGGCCTCCCTCTGCCCTGTGGAGCAGGAGGTGCGGGCAGCGAGGAGAAACATGGTCCCATTCATCTACACCCACAGTCAGGTGGAGCGGGGAGAGAGAGACAGAGACAGTAAGAGACAGAAAGAGACCCAGACCACAAGCCCAAACATGGAGAGAGAGAAAATGAGAGGGAAGGGGAAAGAGACAGAAGAACCGAAAGATCACACGAGAGTCAGAGATGGAGAGACGCTGAGAAGGGTTGTGACAGCGACAGAGAGAAATGGAGACAGAAGCAGGAGGCATAGCCAAGTCTTTGACCCCACTGACCCCTCCCCCACATCCATGCCGGCTGAGTGGGAGTTCACTCTGTGACCAGACATGAGTCGGCAGCGGTCCAGGGTGCCTGCGCACCACCTCCCCATCACTTGCTCCAAGTCTTCTCCCTCTTCCCAGAGAATGAAGCTCACAAGTGGCACCGAGAGCTCCGCGGCCACTCACCACAATGACAAGGATGATAGGGCCAGCAAAACTCCAGATAAGGGGCTCATGGATGGAGATCCAGCAGAAGTCAGGGTTCCCATAGCCATCTGGATCCAGCCCAACAGCAAGGCCTTTGGAAAGAGAAGAGGTAGGACCAAAGAGGTGTGGTCTAATTCTGACCCCTCGTATGGGAAGGAAACAGGACCCTCCCTGAGCAGGTGACATGGGGGCAGAGGTTGAGGGATCAGGATAGGATTGGGGGACCCTAGGATGGGCAGAGGTTGGGGACCACAGGCCTGAGTGGGTAAGACCTCACCCAACAACACAGCGGGGACGCCCCAGCCCAGGGCATGGTAGAAGCGCATGGCACCACGATCCACATTTCGAGGCTCGACCTGCATTCGGTAGAGGTGCAGGCCCTGCACCAGGAGCCATGCGAAGGTGCTGAGGAAGAAGTAGTGCAGGAGGATGGCGACTGCCGTGCACAGCAGCTGAGGGCAGGGCCAGGGAGTGCCGTCAGCATCTCTCCTGCCCAGCCCTCCTCACCCCAGCCCAGACAGCTGCTCTCCGCTTGTGCTCCCAACAACAGCATTAATTCCAGCCAGTATCCTGCCCCAAACCAGGACCTCAGCTTGGGCTCCCTGATCTTAAACCCTGTGCTTTGGCTCCAGGCTCTCTGGGGGAGGTGGAGTCACTGGGGCGTAGCCCCCCTGGCCGGCCCCTGCACCTGGTTGTGGGTCCTGTGGATTCCCAGCAGGAAGACGAGCTCCGCTACCCCCAGGGCAGCTGCCACGTTGGCATGGATCCCACGCACATTGGACTTGAGGCTGCGCAGGCTCAGCAGGACAGCTGCAGTCAGTACTAGTGCCGTCACAGACACAGCCACGGCCACATGAGTGAACACCGCCAGCAGCTCGAGGTCTCCCTCCAGGCGCTGTGGAGTTAAGGATGGTCACGGGGATGCTGGGTAGAGAGTTTCCCAGCCCTTTTGACTTCCCACTTTGTTGGGTCACTGAACACAAATCTACCTCACGGGGAGAGGCATCCATAAGGACTCCAAAAGTGCCTGTCCGACTGCAGCGACATTGTGCATGGGATCCGTTCCTGTGCACCAGCTCGCAGTCCCTTGCTGTCCACATACCGTGCTGGTCTGTCCTGTACCCAGAGGAGAGTTACATCTACCTTTCCATCCAGGATGTGTCCCATTTCAGGAAGAGATTTGTGGTGGGGGGGAAGGGAGAGGGACCTAGAGTTGGGGAACAGCATTCCTCATGGGCTTAATTGCACAGTGGCATAGATAGGGGCCTCGGGGACAGGCTGGGACACCTCCCAGAGGTGAACAGGGACAGAAAGTTTCCAGAGTGGGGTCCTTACGGGCCAGGTGGGTCCCACTGCACACAGATCGCTTTGCTCCGATTCGCTGTCTGTAGAAGGCGGAACTCAAGGTTGATTGGGGATACCAGAACACCCCTTAGGAAGTTGCGTCCATGGAAAACAGCTACGCTGACCACCGGGGAGTTCATAACAGGGTTCTGGGGGAGCCTGAGGAGATACCCATCTGGTCTTGGACACTGTTGACCAAAGACTGACTGCCCACCTCTCCCTGTCTTCAAACCACTTGCCATGGCTGGCCAGGGTCTGGGATAGCTCCAGAGCACAAGCTTTTTCTAAGAACACTGTCCAGCCTCTGGTGGGATGCCAGGGGCTTCAGACTCACTGTCTAGACTGGGTTCTGAGGCCTGAAGAGCTCCAGAATGGCCTGTGACTGTCAGTCTCAGACCCCCCCCCTCCCTGTTCCCATCTCCATCTGACTTCCCCGACCAGCCTGTCTATCAGTCAGTTGGCCTACCTATACCTGGATCATGTACCCTTCTTGTATTGTTTGACAGTCCCCACATATGTCTCTGTCTGTCACCCTACACCTCTGCTGCTCTTTATAGCCAAAGAGAATTCCCGTGGAACCCAGTTCAGGCGGGCTCCCTGGATCTGCGCACAGGATCATCTGCCTGCTGCCACGGAGGGAGGCGTGTTGGGTTGGGTAGAAGCTCAGGGTTGAAGGGGACTAGGAGCAGGTGTATGCCTGGTACCTGGCGCCCCGGCGCTCAGCCTGGAACTGGGCAGGGAGAAGCCCTCCCAAGGTGCGGTACACGAGGAGAATGACAATGGACATCCCAGGCTCAGGCTCAGGCTCCAGGGGGGCTGGTGAGGAGACCACACTTGAGGCTGTGGCGTTTTCTGTGTTGGTGCTTGTGGGCAGAACTGCCAAGGGACAGGAAGGAGCCACAGTGATTTCTCACCATGAGCACCCACAGACCTGGCTCTGAACCCAACCCAGCGTCAAGCTTGGAGATCTCTTCTATACAAGTTCAGAAGCTGGGGAGTGGAGCAGGCAGGGGACATGGGAAAGGCGGTGAAGCTGGTCAGGTGAGGGTGTAGCAAAGTGTATTTGGAGGTGGCCCCGGGAAGCTCTCACACAGGAGCCATGAGGTGTGGGAGGTCTGGCCGGGAAAGAAGTGGTGAGAGGATGACAAGCTACCAGGCTATCAGGCTATCAAGCTATCAAGCTATCAGGAGGAGATAAGGACACAGGACCAGGCTCAGAAGTCACCAAAAGGGCTCCCACCTTCAGATGGGGATGGCTGTGGGGACTGTGAGGGCAAGAGCACGTGTGTATGAGGATCCCAGGCGTCTTGGCCCCGGAAAAGGTTGCTGTGGTAGCGGGGATAACGACGGGCTCCCTGAGAGGAACTAGGATGCTCCATGCGGTCAATGCTGAGCACTGCCCAAGAAAAAGAGAGGCAACAGCTGTCAAGAACATCCTTCCCAAGGGTTACCATCCCACCTGTGCCCACTCTACAGCTGAGCTTCCCAAGCTGTGTTTTCCTTGAGGTGAGTGCTGGGTGTGGCCCTACAAAGCACCAGGGGTTGGAGTAGTGTGGCCCAGCAGTAGCACCAGCCCCAGAGGCCCCTGTCCTTCTGTTCCCTCCACTCACTGATATTGGGTGTGACGAGTCCCACAGGATTCAGGTATGTCAGTTCCATATTCCTTGCAAGTGTGGCTGCATATTCCTCCAGATGCTGCACCAGCCCTGCACTTCCTGGGGAGCCCCCAGGAGCCCGCTGTCCCAGGGCTGCCCACAAGTCGCCTGTCTCTGGAGCAAGCAGTGCAGAACCAGCCCACAGCAGATTCTAGAGGGATGGAGATGGAGTCGGACTCACCCAGGTGGTGAGGATGTGCGAAAGGGTGGGGCAGACATGAGGGGGTCTAGCCAGGTATTAGTGGGGGCCCAAGAGGCAAGAGGGCAGGACTGAAGTGGACAGGGAAGAGTGAAATTGTAGACCCTTCACTTTCCCAGAGGTCAGGAAGGGTATAAGTTGGGGATCCAGGGCTAGGAGACTAGAGGAGGGGAACCATGAGCTGGGGGTCAGGGCCATGGAATAGAGAACACAGAACACAGCCCACCTCATTGAAGTGAGCATCTTGTGTGGCTGTCAGCCCGAAGCCCTGCTGATGGCTCTCAAAAGCCAGCAAGTAGGCCAGCAAGCGGGCAGTGACTCGGACATCTTGGCTAAAGTAGTGGTCAGTCTGGCCGGTCACCTCCCGCAGCCTCTGAGCCAGCTTCTTGGCCTCCACAGTATCCAGTGTTGTCTTGTTCAGCTCTAGGCCATCCAACTGCCAGGACAAGGATGGCAGTGGTTGTTCTGTGATCCTGTAGGCCTTTCTCAAAAGCCTTACAGGGAGAAAGGCTTGGACAGATGAAAGGGCAACTAGGAAAGGCCAAGAGGTCAGGGGCTGAGGTTTACATTGGGCCTGTCACAGGCCCGAAGGTCTTGGGTGTAGGACACTATCTGGGCAGAGTCTCACCAGCAGACTAAGCTCTCGAAAGGCGGGCGAGGTGCAGTTGAAGAGGTCAGGCTCCAACCAACCCTGGTCCTCATCACACAGCCGCACTGCAGCACCTGGGGGCAGGCAATCCCTGGTGAGGCCTGGAGCCTGTGGACTTTTGCTGATAGGTGGCCACAGCACCCTCTTCTATCCCATACGGAGCCTTGAGGTAGGGCCCTGAGTGATGAACATCTATGGCTAGGTGGCTAGATGCTGCAGCCTAAGCCCAGGTGGGTTCCAATAGCTTGTTGGTCAGTTCGCCCAAGGACTCTGACAACCATTCTTACCACTAACCACATGAAGAAAAGTATAAGGATGTACTGTAGATAGACACACACACAACACACACACTCACTGCGTCACACATACGGGCTTTGATAAGCTTACATACAGGCCAAAACTCATATACAGGCAAAAAAAAATTCAAACACATGCCAACAATGCTCATTAGATGTGCACACACACACACACACA